TATATATATATTAAATTAGGCAAAACAGGAATCTATGTATGCAGATAATATTAAACACTAGTACAAAAGGAGTAAGTCGTTTATAGTAGAAATTGTGCACTTTTGAGTTTGTAAAAATGTTGGCCTAATAGGTTTACACGCTTCCAATTTTAACAACGCATAGACGTACATGGTTTTCACAATAAATTTATCCTCTGGTAACCGTTGCACCCATATATTGATGGACTGAGATGGTTACGAAATGTATAAAAATATTTTACTCGGTTTTGGTCCGGACAAGCACCACACTTGGAACAGTGTTGGCGCCAGCGGGGTGACGGGGGCATTTACCAACCTGTCGGACCAAAAATATATTTTTAAAAAATATCAATTTGCCTATCCAAAAACGCTATTACATTTTGATTGCCAATCCTTGAGATTATGGTCTAAAAGCACATTTAGGACCAAATTAAGCCATAAAAACTCTCTCTCGATCGACGCCCATGAGGACTGCTCTAATTTGTCGTACAAGCAAGGACTTCTAATTTATTTATAAGCTTTTTGAGAAATTTTAGTGTTTTCCCCGCCGCTTATGTGTTAATATCACAAAACTCATCTTCTCTCTTTCTATATGTTTCGCTAGAATTATATTATTTCTCATTTAAGTCTGCGAGTGCCATTTCCGGCAATCTAGAGGTGCCATACGTGTTCTTACCTCAGCCCCAACCATGGTGGGGCTGTGTTATAGACCCCGTGGTGGATTTAAGGGGGACCGAGCCGACCGAGGCCCCAATATATTTTTGAAAGAAAATAGAGAAAAAACAAAACATACAGTAATTTATAATCAAATTTATGTCTGAGAGCTCCATTTCCGGCCATCTGTAGTTGGCATAATCATCAATTTTCTTTTCCTCAACCCCGACCATATTTGGGCCGTTCTATTTCTGTGAAAGTTTTTCACTGGACACTCCTCTCTAATTCCTGAATCCTCCATGGTCCTTATGTTAAACCTGGCCCAGGTAAAATGGTAGTGGAAATATTCGCTTCAAAACAACAACAAATCAATTTATTGCTTCCCCTATTTTGTTCCCAATCAGATCAGAGGCTTATTTGTCGATTTTATATACGGTTATTTGAAGTCTACCTATCTCATCCACGTCGTAAAGCGGTTGTAATTATTTGTTCATATTCGCAATTTCCAGATTTTAATCTTAGAGAGGCATTTGAGGCTGCAAAGAGACGTGCCATAATTAAAAATTCGGAAGATGGAAGGTCGATATTACCTCACCCCCCCCCCACCCATGGAGGGGCTGAGGTAAAATCGACCTTCCATCTATGAAGGTCCCTCCCTGGCTCCCCTCATTTCGTGGACATATCATATTGCATCTTTAAAATCTATTAAAACCTCAAAGTATCAAAAACGTCTGAGCGCGATGGGGGATCCCACTCGACCTCAAAAGGGCTATGTCCTTAGCGTCCCCCGCCACACTTTGGTCCACTTTCCACAAATTCGCACACAGCCAATGAAAATCCTGCTTACTGGCCTGCTACCTACCTACCAACGTACCTACCTACTTATCTCTACCAACCTACCCACCCACCCACCTACCTACCTATCTCTACCAACCTACCTATCTCTACCAACCTACCCACCCACCCACCTACCTACCTACCTACCTACTCACCCACCCACCTTACTTATCTCCATTTTGAATTGACGCTATATAAATAATTATTTGTTATTACCCAAGATGTGTTAGGCTATTTCATTTTTGGATAGGCCTGAGAGGGATAACGCCAAGATATGTCCGATGGGAGGGGAATGTACGACGTAGTCGGGCTCGTTCAAAAAGCGAAAGTGGTTAGTTGGCGAAGCCCCTGAACACTGCGAAAAAATGGGTTCAAAGGCTTAGGCCCAGGGCCTATTTAATCGATTTTAGAGGCTATACTTATGTAAAAAAAATACATGTAGTCAGTGGTGGTGCCAGTATTGGATTTGCCCGACGGGAGGGGCGACGTCCCCGACGAAAAAAGTGGGTGTGGTCGGGCGTCACTCAAAATCTCTCGAAAGTGTTCCAGGGGGCGAATTTCCCGAAAACTATGACAATTTCAGGGGTTTCAAAGGCTCATTTAATCGATTTTGGAGTCTAGCTATAACTAATAATATGTAGAAAATACATATACATTTTTTTTCTCCCCCACGAATTGTGGTTTTTCTCCCCGACATGGAGATAACTTTCCCCGACGCGGAGGGGGACCCTGTTCCCAACCCAGATGGCGCCAACCCAGATGGCGCCACCCGTGTATGTAATTTTTTTTCTCCCTGACAAATTGTGTTTTTCACAGCGACGAACACCACACCTCCCTTACGGGCGCCATTCTAATAGAACTATCAAAGGCGGAGATATTTTTTGAGAAGCTTTGGATGTTAATGGTATGAGGATGTTGAGTTTAGAGTGGAGGTGACTGTTAACTCCACTTTAAATTTCGCTGTAGAACGTCCTCATGACATAGCTCTTTGAGGAGCTTTGAATTTAATGTTATAGAGGACGTTATACGGGAGGTTGTAGTGATGTGACTACGTCACGATATGACTATATCATGTGACTAAAAACGACCAGCGTGATTAGCTGGATGATATACTAAATAAAGCACACATAATTTCGTAGGGTCATCATTTTGTATCATGTGTCATTATTATATATCTGGATATTAGATGGTTTGTTGCAATCATCGATAAACAATATCAAAGAGGTGACAGTCTGAAATTGATAACTGAGCAGTGGCTTATGAGAATGGACTCAGTTTACTTAGTAATACCTTAAGGTATTTATTATTTATTAATAATGCATTATACTTTACAACAACTTTCAGACGGTTGCGACGAATATAATGTGGGCTTGGCTAATACTTTAGTCATCCCCGACAGCGCATTTTCGGCAAGCAGTGAGTGCCCTCAGAGCGGCAACTATCATGGATATCGTGCCGCGAGAGGGCGTCTGGATGTAATCTATGAGGGCCCCAACAAGAAAGGAGGATGGATGGCCGATGCCAGCCAGACATCACACTGGATTGATGTCGACTTACAGGCAACAGTGAACGTAGCTGGTGTGATTACACAGGGAAGGCAGTGCGGGGATGACTGGGTGAAAGAGTACCGAGTTGAATACAAGAATTCTGGGACCACTTACATTTCTGTGACTAATACCATGAACCTGCCAATGGTTTGTAGGCTAAAGGCCTGTTTATACTTGGACAGAGGAGGCGCT